CAACATCAGGTAATCTTCCCTCTTGGCCACGAAGGAGGGGAGGGGGTCGATGAACACGACAATGTTGTACAACAACCCGAAATCATATACGAATGCGACCTGGATTTCAACCGGGATATGGCGGAATTCCACCGAATCCACCCAAAAGAAATCTTGCATTAATTGTGACCTCCTCTCCTCCGGCCCCATTCTTCGCTGCGGCGTCCAGGCGTGGATCCGGACCTCCGTCCGTTCGCAGTGAAGGCGTTTTCACCCATCAATCGCACATTTGTCTGATTCGTGTAGATACAGGATTGTGAACAGAGACACGACCTTGTTCCTGCATATAGGAGGCTGATATTTGCAAATGTACCCTTTCGCATTTTTCGCCTAATGATTATCACATTCCCCATTGCAAATAAATCTAGTTTGGTCGCGCAGTGAAAATGAAAGGAATTGGATATGTGTGGTCACTGCCTTAATCCCGATCCCGGATCACAAAGAAAAAAAAAGGTGTTTACGAGACTTCCACAGAAATGTCGCCACGAGTGGGGTAGGGTACCCAATGCAGCCTCATTCCAAATCCAGTATTGACGCACTCCACGCTCGGTTCTACTAAATTTGAAATCCAGTGTTGACACACTCAGCACTCGATTTTGCTATAATCAAAATCCAGTGATGACACACTCAACACCCAGAACTGCCATATTCAAAATCCAGTGTTGATATGCTTAACACTCCGTGCTATCATATACAAAAACCCAAGGCTGCCACATTCAGCTCCCAACGCAGCCTCATCCTGCACTCGGTGCAGTCACACTCGGATTCCGGTGCAGTCACACTCAACGTGCCACAACTGATTGGGTCGGTAACGCACTGAAGATTGAGTTTGATAATTAGCCAACTAGCTCGCTAAAGGCTAGGGTATTTGGCAACTATTTGCATAATTGTTGAATCTCTTCAAAATTAAGCTCCTACTAGAATCGGTGGTGCGGCCTGACTGTGGAAGAAAGGGAAGAATAAGGGGGAAAGGGGGACCGAGCAATTAAGAATCATGTACCTGATCTACAGCAAAGGTCAGGTACACACGAATTAATAGCCGTGCTCCAGATCGCTTCCCGTGGCCTTACGACTTAGTGGCAGATCAGGTATGCGCCCCTCATTGACAAGACAGGTAACCAGTGTTCATTGCCAGGCTAGGTGCTCGCTCTTCATCAACATATCAAGCATATGCTCTTCGTTGTTGACATCAGGTATTCAGTGCTCATTGATGTGCACATTGGCAGATCAACTATCAACTTCTATATTGGCATGCCATTTGCGTACCTTGGTCTAACAGATCAGCATTACGCTGCTCATAAGCAGGCCTGACTCAGTTCCTAGTTGGAAAGACTAATTGGGCCCTTGCTGCACATTTACTGGAGATATGCATAGTGCAATCATAACGGTCAATTCGTTCGAGAAAAAAAAAAAGTATTACTGGCTGGATCCAGGTGGACGATCACCCTTAAATTCCCCGTTTCGACTTCCCGCTTTTGCAACCATGCTTCTAACCATCACTTATCGCAAAATTACCCCATCATTCAAACAAAAGCTATCAGAATGAGCATGCTTCAGATTGTCAACTGTTCTATCCCATCAAACCTGAAAAGCCGCAAGTGAAAACTCTTACCTTGTCTGGGACTCGGACTTCAGAAATGTTGGATGAACAAGTTTTATTTAATTGCTGTTTGATAGTAGTTGTTTTTCAATGTGTTGAAGAAAATATCCAAACCAACTCAGAATGAGGAGAGACAGGTGGAAGTGATACCTCTTCCTGCCAGTCTCTGAGGAGCTCGGAAGCGGGAGCAGCGGGTGACAGATACTGTTATCCTTGGCTTCAGCGAACGACAGTAGATTCCCTCCCCCGGTTTCCTCACAACTTTGTCGTCGTTGTCGGGGAGGGGACTGCATCCCGAAGGCCTCGGCCTTCCCCTATTGAACAGGGGTGCATAGGCTAATTAGCCGGGTAGTTGATTGGTTGATTACCTTTTTTTTTTTTTTTTAATTGATTAGATATATTTTTAAAGGATAGCATTAAACATAGCAAAAACCACGAGGTACTATGCGAGAGCACAATACAACGAGACAGCATAAGGCCGTATGCAATTCATCAAAGTCAAGATAGAAAGGTTTATCGTCCATAGCCAAGTAGTTCGTAACAGCAATCGTGAAAACCTGCGACAACAAATTGCCAGTGCGGACATCACCCACTCCTCCCCCTATCGATCCACCACATGCCCGTCCGCTACTGACTCCACGCACACTGGGTGCGAAGGGAGTTAGACCGTCAGACGCAATCAATTTATTGTTGGCGTCCGTGTCAAAGAAACGAAATTCCCAGGTTGCCCCGAAATCTGGTCCGTCGGTTCCGGCGAAATCCCAGGACCCGAAACCACACATCAAACCCAATGGTTTACAAAAAACAGAGGGGTTCACGGCCATGCGTTCCGAAAGAACCGCCGCAGACCCACGAATTTCAATCCAGTAGTCGCGTTCTACGCTAGCCTATGGTCCTACGCATACACTAGAAATCCTAGTGAGATTCAGTCCTAGAACTAGCCCGTAGACTCTGGTAATCTCATTAAACATCTACTTATCATTCTACAGTTCTAACAATTCCACTATGATCTTCCAAACCTGTTCCTTATCTCTCGCGAAATTCCCTAATGTCTATCTGAACAGCTCGTCTGGGTACGTCCTCCTGCGGTGTTCCATTCTCAGTGTAATGACAGCTGCTAGCATGCTCGGAATCGAGTTGGAATTCTGTCGAATCCGGTGCATGCACCTTCCGATTGCTGCCATTTTCTCTTTCTTGACAGTACAAGATTCAAAATCCTCGAAGGTCTGGAAGGTCAAGTCATCTCCCTCCAACAGTTCTTTCTCATTTTTCATGGTCTAGTAGCACGTCGGAAAGGGCGGTGTTTCTTTTACCACCAGCCGACATCCAAGAAATTCCCACTCCGTTTTTTCCCCATCGGTTCTCTGCAGTGTCAGGTTCGGATCGTAGCACTTCTCATACAATTGCAGGGTCTCTTCCGCACGCAATTTCAACTCCTGACTGTTCTTCTTATATGCAATGAAGATCGACGCATCGTCTACGAAACGCAGGCCAGATACCAATCGTCTGTGGCTTCCCAATGTGAGCAAAAAGTCCCATTCAGGTTTTGCACACATCAGACAGGCGAGGGGAGGGCTCGATGACTTCCCCATCGGGATACCTACAATCTGTCTCAAGTTAATCCCAGATGCAACTGTAAAATAGTTGTTCAGATCGTATCTCACGAACTCCAATAGCACAGAGAAACTCACAAATTTGTATCCTTAAACCTGGGCACATTTACTCAGTTTACTCCCCTTCCCCCAAATTTTCACGAAAACTCTTTGATACCCTTTCGTTCCAAACCACCAAATGCACCATTCCACAGATCGAAGGATCGTCTCGTGCGGCAACCTACTGAACATATCATTAATGGCGTAGGATGTTGCCATCACACTCTGTAACGACCCGTTAATCTTGCCTAGTTTAGCTGTCATCATATGCACTAATTTAAAATTAAAGTGACCGCTAGTAGGAAGATTGAACAGTATGCCGTTCAACCCTTGGGAGATATTCTTGCATACTTTATTGCTTGGCTCATCAAAGGTGGGGCAGATCGGTCGAAACCTCGTGGTGTCTTTGTGCTTGGGTGGAGCATAAGCTCGCCCAAGTTTCCCATCCTTCGTCCAACTACCAATCTCTGTGAAACCACCTACTCGATATTCGACCACCATCTTCTTAATGAGCTGACATTCATCCTCCTTTTTTATCTCATAACCCGTATTTCGAATAAACGTACTGCTCATCGCCATTGCATACACCTCAGCACACATAACCATCGTCTCACCGAGATTCCGGTCAAGTGGTGTACATATGAAACCTTCGAGTTTCTTCTTCGGGTCAATTACTAACCTCAAGTTACCCTCCACCCTACCAACTGATCCATCCACACAACTGTTAATCTTTTTGTCAGTAACTGTGATCTTCGTAGTGTCCACATTCAACCAGTCAATTTTTTGAATTGAAGTTAACACCTCCTCTCTCAATCTCCCACCACAGTCTTCACTTCATTCCCTAGGAATATTTTTTGCATTCCTAGCAATCTCCGAACAATCCTCCCACGTGCTCAAACGGAAATAGACGTGTCCCTGTTCTTTCAGAATGGAGGAATCAGTGCATTTGCACCTAGCAACTCCACTCTCCACATAACGGCGATGATTGTGGATGATATCCCCGATGTTCGGACTCCTGGTCCAAACTACTCGGGTACGTTGCTTAACCATTCTCGCGACAACATGGTCGAGAGGTAGCCCACCAACCTTCTGCTTCACTAACCTGCTCACTTGCCTTTTCTTAATTCGACTGTCGAACTTCACCTTAGTGACCACTCTCCAGTGAATACGCATTCCGAAATTCCTCTTGATGACATCTGCAACCATCTTTTTAGCCTGTGATCGACTCCTCTTCGTTGAAAAAATCCTTGCGGCTGCATAATAGTGTATTAACTCACTAATCTGCAGTCGCTTCAGCTTAGCTCGTTTCCATTGAAACTTGAACATTTTTACTAAGTCCTGCTTGAGTTTCAGAGTTGTCAGCGATGCTTCGACGATATCCCTGATTCTCACACTCCCTTCTTGCTCGAACATCTTCTTGCATTTTCATAGCGGTCTTGTTCGTTTCCCGGTACATACTCTCGTCTAACGTGTCAATTGTCAGTCCAGGTAGTCCCCCCATTACAAACTACCCGATATTCTTTCCCATTCCCTTCCTTGCCAACCTTGGCTAAACTACGAAGTAGTCTAACAATGCATACGGTCTCATCCTTCAATCCTTCAACTGAGTGTCAGGATTTGTGACTTCGACCGTTCGCTTCTTCTTTCCTTTCCTTGATGAGTACTAAAGTCCTTCTTCTTCTTCTCACGATGGCGCTCCTTCTTTCCGCGTCTCCTTCGGCCCTTTGTTCATTTCTTCTTCAGTTTGGTATTCAATGACGGTGACCACGTTTGAATCAACGACCTCTGGATGGCTTCAAGTTCCATACGATCAGAACTGAAGATTAGAGGTATGACCACATATTGTTCGACTCCTACCTTTTTCAACCACTTGTACAGATTTCTCCGCCCCCAATCTCACATTTTTCCTTCAAACCGCCATTCACATGCTCCTTCCATCTCAAACTCAACTTTCGTTTAGTCCTTCCTATTTAGGTCTGTTTAAACCAACGCATATACGCAACCTTCGGGTGTTCCAAGTTCTAAGACACTCCTATCACATGCGTCTCTCCAGTAATCGATAAAATTTTTGCACCACGGTATCTCACCATACAACACGAGTTCGATCAACAAAGAACGAACGTACGACTTATACTCATCATGATTGCATCCTTTCGTCGATCGCAAGCTTCGGAGCGTGCTGATGTCTCTCCACATGCGCCAAACGCCTCATTCTGAGTCCTCATCTTCGTCGTCAAAGTCGCTTTCGTCATCCACTGGTTTCGGTCGTAAGGATCTAGCTGCTCTCGGCACTTCCGGAGCTCCACGAGGTGATTCAGGCAACGACACATTAATCGGATCGTATGCTTTCAGCAGTCTTCGTGCCACTAATCGTTTGATCCCAATGTCACGTTTGGTGTAGCTGATCTTCTCACTCTTACGCACTTCCTTCAGTTCATCGATCGTCAGTGCTTCAAACAAGTCTCGACACTCTTCTTCATACTTCTCACGATCGCCTGGTGCACATCCAGCAGCCACGTGTTTTAGGCTCAACGACAACTTCTCGACGGGCTTCAGAATAATTGATGCTGATGCAGTTTGTCCAGCATCATAGTTTCGGATCTCGTTGATCTGAATCTTTGCTTCCGAACCGAGTTCCGTTCTCCTACGTCTGGCATCTGCTGTCAAACCCAGTCTCTGTCCTTTTTTCAGCGTCGTCGATGGTGGGCTGCCTGCAATATTACCTTCAGGTTCCCGTCTTCGTTTATCGTAGATGTTGATCCTAACGGCACGCCTTCTAAGAAGTAGTAATTCGGTATCCTCGTCACCCTCAGAACTCACTTGCATCGCAATCTCTCTTCTCAGCCTTTCCTTTTCTTCTTCGGCAGTTTCTCCTTTCTCGTTCACTTTCACCTTTTTTATTCTCTGGTTTCTTATCCGCCTCAGTACCACTCCCCCATTCGACGCGAACCAAACGAAGCAGGCGAGCATCCCGCTCATCCTCATATCGTTTCCACTCTAATCTTTCGAGTCTCTTCCTCTCGCTTCCAAATGCGTTTCTTCCAACTTCCTTTCTTCCCTCTCTTCAGCTTCCTGTGCTTTCTTAGCACGACGCTCTTCAGTTAGCTCCAAAAAATATCCGCGCATCAATCGTTCGGTATGCTTAGACCCGCTATGTGTATGTAACCGAACTATCCGCTGATAGGCCTCAAGGATGCTCCCCTTGTACGATCAGTATCCTCCCTTGTCTCGGTTGTGGAGGTGGCGGTACGAAGGTTACTCCCCGAGCCTTAGCTTCGTGATATTTTTCACACACATTGGCGAAGTGGTCAGCCTCACCGCAAGTGTAGCACGTCTTCCCTCGCATAGGATGGAATCTCAAGGATACTGGTGGTTGGCCAATATTTCCTCTAGACCCGCCCGCACCACCAGAGCCACTCAACTAGCTCATCTTTCTTGCCTGTGTAACACTCCATACGACGTGCGGGGGGTTTATCGTACGGCCGTACGTATGGTCGTATGTACAGCCCCGTACGAAGAAAAAAAAGAACGTTTTTTTTTTAATCTCAAATTTGGTAACGAATTTCAATATGACCCTGAGGCAAAAGTGTTTCAGTTTATTTTTTTCCATAACATTTTTTTTTTCAGATTTTTTTGAATTTTTTTTTTGTTGTTCTTTTTCCGTACGTACGACCCGTACGACCACATGAGCCCGTACGTACGGCCGTACAAATGTACGTACGACCCGTATTCATACGGGGGTCTACATAGTTTCCTGCTGTAACGGCGTAACCGATGTCGGCGTATCAATCGAGAACTCGAAGCAGAACCTGCGTAATCCCACTTGATGACACTTAATCTCCTCTCAACTCCTTCCGCCACCCACTCCAGGTTAAAGCATTAAACATAGCAAAAACCACGAGGTACTATGCGAGAGCACAATACAACGAGACAGCACAAGGCCGCATGCAATTCATCAAAGTCAAGATAGAAAGGTTTATCACCCGTAGCCAAGTAGCCCGTGACAGCAATCGTGAAAGTCCGTGACAACAAATTGCCAGTGTGGACATCACCCACTCCTCCCCCTGTCGATCCACCACATGCCCGTCCGCTACTGACTCCACGCACACTGGGTGCGAAGGGAGTCAGACCGTCAGACGCAATCAATTTATTGTTGGCGTCAATGTCAAAGAAACGAAATTCCCAAGTATCAGGCCCCGAAATCTGGTCCGTCGGTTCCGGCGAAATCCCAGGACCCGAAACCACCATCAAACCCAATGGTTTACAAAAAACAGAGGGGTCCCCGGCCATGCGTTCCGAAAGAACCGAGGCCCGTGAATTCCAATCCAGTAGTCGCGTTCTACGGGAATTCAAAAAAACAGAAGGGTCTATGGCCATGCGTTTCGATAACTCCTGATCCGAGAGTTTCTGCGCAAGCCTCCCCAAGATTGAAGTTGATCCTCTCGCCGAGACGAAAATATTGAGACCCTCGACGACTTAAACTAACAACTAAAATTCAAGATAACAATTTTTTTTTTTCCAAAAATATTATGAAATTTCATTTTCTTGTTTTAATTGATTTACTGGATGGGATTTTAGGCTGCTCACACAAAGCAAAGTTGTTCGGTTTATTTTTTTTGACGTTTTGAGACTTCAATCAGAAAAAACGGACATCGTATGCAATCGGTACGTAGTCCAATAGCAACTATTAGCTGAAATTAAATCGCCAAATTTTGATTTTTTTCATTTTTTTTTTAAATACTAAAAAGACAAAAGTTGAAAATTTTAATCCGATAAGTTTTTTGATTGAACTACAAAGGTTGGATGCATAAATTTTCTACGGTCGAACAGGGTTGACAGTGAGCGTGGGGTCGCACGCAGAACTTAAACCCTAGCTATTGTAAACCCTAGGGATAAAATTATACAAAGTATTACTTTAGGGTTTATTTTATTTTTACCTACCGAACCGTGCGACTTTGCCATACGAACTCTGAGACCAAAGTTGAATGGTTTAATCAGTTGAAAATTTCGGAGTCCTCCGCCGGTGAAGCCAACGGCCTATATTTTTGTTAAAGAAATTAAATGATTTTTGTGAAATTAAAGAAAAGTAAATAGAAAAATTGTTTAAATTCTAAATTAAAATTCTAAGTGAGTTTGGGGACCTGCGCAGGGAGCGCAACTTTTTGGAACAAACTCTTGGAAATATTGGGAGCTTCTCTGCGCGAGGCCGACATACGACGCCAGCGCGAGGAATTTAGAAGAGAGTAAATTATTTTGAATTTAACTAATAAAATTTATTAAATTCAAAATAAATAGCAAAATTTTAAATACAAATTATTTAAAGATTTATTTTATATCATATTTCAGATCCTTCTTAGGCATCCTTCATTCTGGGACTTTTCTTGAACCCCATCCCAATGGGGGGAGGGTATATATATATATATATATATATATATATATCGTCAAATAGAACTGTCCGGTAAACCGTAGGCAGAGAGGGAGAAGAGGACAACAAACGAGGGGTTGTGACAAACTGTTTCGTCGGAGTTTCACCGACTCATTAGGAGGCTGAACCCTCAACAGTGTGTAGAATCCCCTCACTGATTACACTGTAAGTGATAATCCACCTTAACCAAAATCAAAGTAGACTATCACTCACCCACACCAGATGGAAAACTCTACAGACTGTC